AAAAAAAAAACATTACTAAATCTTAAATCACACATCAAACCCCACACATTAATAATGGGAGACATCAGCACCCCACTCTCTCCAATGAACAAGAACATTAAGACAGAAACAAATGGAGAAATAAAGAAATGAACAGAGATCATGAATCAAGTAGAGCTAACAGATACCTACAGAACATTTCATCCAAACACAAGAGAATATACCTTCTTCTCAGCACCTCACAAAACCTTCTCCAAAATTAACCATATACTCAGTCACAAAGCAAGCCTCAATAGATATAAGAAGATTAAAATAATCCCCTGTATCTTATCATACCACCATGTATTAAAGCTGTAACTCAACAACAGAAACAACAGAAAGCCTACAAACTCATGGAAACTGAACAACTCCTTATTCAATGACCACTGGATCATAAATGAAACAAGGAAAGAAATTAAAGACTTTCTAGTATTCAATGAAAATAAAGGCACAACATGCCCAAGCTTATGGGACACAATTATAACAGTACTAAGAGGAAAGTTCATAGAGTTCATAGTACTGAGTGCCTTCATAAAAGCAAAGGACACTGTCATCAGAACAAAACGACAGCCTACAGATTGGGAAAAAATCTTCACCAACCCTATATCTGACAGAGGGCTAATATCCAGAATATATAAAGAACTCAAGAAGTTAAACAGCAAAAAATCAAGTAACCCAATTAAAAACTGGGTTACAGAGCTAAACAGAGAATTCTCAATAGAGGAATATTGAGTGGCAGAGAAATGCTCAATATCCCTAGTCATCAAGGAAATGCAAATCAAAACAACCCTGAGATTTCACCTTATACCCATCAGAATGGCTAGGACCAAAAACTTAAGTGAGAACACATGCTGGAAAGGATGTGTAGAAAGAAGAACTCATTCTCACCATTGCTGGTGAGAATGTAAACTTGTACAACCACTTTGGAAAGCAATCTGGCACTTTCTCAGACAATTAGGAATAGTGCTTCCTCAAGATCTATCTATAGCACTCCTGGACATATATAGGAAAGATGCTCAAACTTACAACAAGGACATGTTCATAGCAGATGTATTCATAATAGCCATAATCTGGAAACAACCTAGATGTCCCTCAACTGAAGAATGGATACAGAAGTTGTGTTACATTCATGTACATTTACACAATGGAATACTACTCAGCAACTAAAAACAAGGAAATTATAAACTTGCAAGCAGATGGATGGGACTAGAGAAGATCATCCTGAGTGATGTAATCCAGAAGCAGAAAGACACACATGGTATGTACTCACTAATAAGTGGATATTTGACATATAATATAGGGTAAACATACTAAAGAAGCTAAAAAATTTTTTTAAAGGAGGGCCCTAAGGAAGATACTTAATCCTCATTCAGAAGGGCAAACAGGATAGACACCTGAAGTGGGAGAAGACAGGGAACAAGACAGGAGCCTACCAGAGAGGGCCTCTGAAAGACTCTGCCCAGCAGGGTATTGAAGCAAATGCTGAGACCCAAAGCCAAACTCTGGGCAGAGTGCAGGAAATCTTATGAAAGAAGGGGGAGAAAGACTTGGAGGGGACAGGAGCTCCACAAAGAGAACAACAGAGCCAAAAATTCTGGGTCCAGGGGGTCCTGCAGACTCTGAATAATCAAGAAAGGACCATGTATGGAGAGAACCTAGAGCCCCAGCTCAGATGTAGACCATAGACAGCTGAGTCTCCATGGGGGTTCCCTAGTAAGGGGAGCACAGGCAGTCTTTGGAATGAACTGGGTTGCCTTCTCTTTGATCACCTCCCACTGGCAGGATGGCCTTATTAGGCCACAGAGAAAGAGAATTCAGACAGTCCTGATAGGCTAGAATCAGATAGTAGTAGAGGAGAACCTCCCCTATGAGTGAACTGTCGAAGGGGCATAGCGGGGAAAGAGGGAGGGAGGGTAGGGCCAGGAGGAGATGAGGGAGGAGGCTACAGCCAGAATACAAAGTGAATAAATTGTAATAAACAATAATAACTTCTTAAAAGTAAAACTAGCACGGCACCTACAGATATGTGGATATATTACATATATCTTCGCATATGTATATGTGCACATATGTGCACACACACATTCAGTGACCCACTTGCAGGCTGGAGGAAAACCAAGCTTTGCTGAACATTCCTTGAGAGAATCACAGATTATCACTGAAGTTCTAGAGCGAAAATAAACCACAAGACAAAGAGCCTCTAAAGAGTAGAGTGGGTGGCCCTTAGAGGGAGGCTGGACGGACCTCCCAGCCCTCTCGCTGAAGCCCACTGCTCATCATGGCGCAGGAGAGAGAAGGGACTCTTACCAAGCACACATACGTTGCAAGCATGGCTTCTTTGCAGTTACATGTCACATGAAAGTTAAGTGTCTCCGTAACATTCTAGATCTCTCATTCCACAATTATCTTGAAACATCAAAAACCTGGATTCTCAGTCAAACTCTGTCAAACTCAAATGCTTCATTAAAAAAAAAAAATGTGTGTTAAGACTTGCAAAGGGAAGTCGCCCCCACACACTTTGCACGCCTTCAGGAAACATATATGATTTAGCTGAAAGGATTCCTTTCTTGATCATTGAGTCAATGAGGCCATGGGTGGGGCGTTTAATGACAGTGACCAATCAGCCTCCAGCAACTGGGTGTGCTCTATGAGTAACCATGAGTGGGTTTACGGCTGAATAGCCTTGCCCACACCTAAGCAGTCCTGCAGCCAGTGTCGTCATAGGCATGAGAAAGGAAAGAGGACTAGGCTGTTGTCATGGGCCTCTACAACACGGATGTTGCAGAGATAAGCGGGGAGGGAACCACTATATCAAATGTTCTTTTTCCATCTTTACTAATGAATTAATTCTCAGTAAGACACAAAATAATTGAACTTGAAGAAACGAGAGTTGCTTGCCCCAGGGAATTTTCTGGGTGTTGTTCCAGCCTCAGCAAGGGAAAGTTGCTAGTGTGATGAGGGGCCCCTAACTTCATTCTTTCCTCATAAATCAACAACACTGATTTTATCCACTGGCAGCATTGCATCCAAGCCATGGATTGTTCAACAAATCGCAAGCGTGTAACCTAGGCTAAAACGTGAAACAAGGTTTGAAAACACATTTCAATAGAGGAACTGCTTTTTAAGACATTTGATGAGCAGTAAACTTGTTTTTCCAGAACAACAGGAGGCACTAAAATGCACAGAAAAAGCATTTTGTCCCCAATCCAGAGAGACAACCAGCACTGCTACAGGCTCATCCTTAGATCAACCAGCAACTTCACTTGGCCTGTTTTCCAAACAGGAGTAACTATGCCGGACTCATGTAATTATTGCAAGGTTTTGATGAACACCTTGAAGTGTGTGTAAGCACCACGCGCGCACCTGAGGGTTGACGTTGTTGTCTAGCTGGAATCTTTCCTTTAGTCTCCCTGGCTGCACGTTAGCCTCCCTGAAGAACATTTAGCAAGTACAGTTCCCAAGTACTTATTTCTCTTCAAAACTTATCTAGGATAGCATCCAGGCATCATTAGACTGTTTGAAAGCTGCTGGGCAATTCTAAATAGCAGCCGGGGTTGAAAAGAGCTGCAGAGAAAAGGTCACAAAACGAGACCTGAAAATGGTTTCAGCAGAGTTACTAAGGATGACTGAAATGAGGATTCAGGGCAGGGCCCCACCCATTCTACTGATTCAGAAATTCTGGGAGGAACCCTAAAATTCTCCATGAACAATTTCCCCAGGTAATTGGAAAGCATTCTAAAATGCAAAACTAGGGAGAGCGGGAGAAGACAATTGGAAACCAGTACTTTCTAAATCTGGTTGAAAAGGCAGGTCACTTGTACATGCCCAAGCAGAATTGTCTTTATTTTTTTTTCAACCTCTTTACCATGTTTCCCGACTCAGGGGGAACTGACTAGTTGTCTTGTTTCCACCACTGGTACTTGACTAAATAATGAAGTCTATGATACATGATTGAAAACCAAGATGTAGATGCTCGTAAACCAACTTCCCTTTCACATTTGTACAACCACAAGACAAGATTATGAAGACTCTGCATCCCATTCAATCAGAGGGAAACACAGTTTAACACAATGTTGGAGTACCTATCTTCTCTTCTCCCCTTCCCTCCTTACACTTCTTCTACAGCTCTGAAGAAAGAAACGTTAAAGTTTGAAAGATTCTCATTTAAAAAAAAAAAAGTGTAAAAACTTCACTTCGGGGGGCACTGTCCAGAGAGCAGGGTGAACTTTGGGGGTCCAGTGGGCGGGGCTGAGTGCAATTGGCAGTAAAAACAGGTGGTGTGGATAAAGAAGAATCCTACCAGAGAAACAGCCCCTTCTGATTTTCAAGGACCTGCACATATGCTTCTCCAGAGAAGACACATTGAAGAACTGGGATGAAATTTTTGTATGACAATCAGTCAAGGCCCACAAAGAGACTACCAACTCATTGGCAACTCAATCCCTTGTAAAGTTTCCCAAAGGTGTGAAATTTCTGAAAATCCTACTAAATGCCAACATCATCATTATTGTTCTTTTA